GCGGTGGGGGACAGCTGTCCCCCACCCCACCCAGGCCTCGCCCCCAAGCCTGGATGATCCGGCAACCACGCGCTGCACAGGCCACGTGCTCCCAGAGGGAGCATTGGACTCAGCCAGACCCTGAGAGTCTGTCCCCCGGGAGGGACCCAGCACCCCGCCAGAGTCCCCAGCACGCTCCTCACTGCCCCCCTTTCCCCCACGACAGCTAGGTCTCCCCTCCCGTTGCCTTCCAGCCCCTGGGGTAGTGAGGGTTCCAAGTGATCACGCCCAGGTTGAGGAGGGGCTGCTTCTGAGGTCGGTTGTTGTCTTTCAATTAAAGAAACACTGTGCAACACGCCTGCGTGTGCAGCCTCTCGGGGTGGACTGGGGACCCAAAAGAAACGGGAGCCACGAGGGTCCGCTGTGGCTGGCTCCCAGGTTCCGCCTCTCTGTGCCCAGTCGGAGCCCCGGGCTGCCTATTCGCTGCTTCCCCTGCCTTCATTGAGGGTCCTCAGCACCCCCAGGCTCGGGGCTGGACCAGAAGGCCCCAGGCTGCCCCCTTCCCGTCCCTTCTAGTCACTTCTGTTGCCCCGGCTATCCTCAGACTGGGCTCCTGAAGCAGGGCCGGCTGAGGTGGCATCTGCCCTCCCAGAGTGGAGTGTCTGCCAAGCAGCCGCTGGCTGAAGAGCACCAGGCCAGAAACTCCCCCCAACCGAGCGGGAGCCGGGAAATCCTAGGGGCCCCTGCCTGCCTGTCTTGATGGGGTTTGGGGTCTCAGCACAATACCGGATTTCGGCTGTGGTCAGAGCTGTGTGCCACACCTGTGTCAGCACCAGGGGGCGCACTCCCAGGAGGGCCAGGCCTCACAGGGACAGGGCCCAGTGCTGCGCGCGCCTGCCTGTACTGGCTTGGCCTGGGCTCCCAGCGCAGCGACCACCCAGTAGGTCACCCTGTGCGCCAGCAGAGCCAAGCCCAGGTCGCAGCGTGTGGGTGCCGGTTCCCAAGAGAGGATCCAGGGCACAGCCCGTGAAGCCTGGGGACATAGGTCTGCCCCGGAAAGGGAGTGGCGGGGGGGGGGGGAACAGTCCCCCAAGAAATGCCCCTTGGATGGCAAGCCCAGCGGGCTAAGCAGGAGACAGGCTATGGCCTGGCTGCTCTTCCCTCGTCGTACACAAGGGGCCTCTGCCCCAGGTGATGGGATCCAGGGCTTCCCTGAGCAGCCGTGGGCCACCAAGGAAAATAGAGCAGGCGGGGCCGCCGGGAGTGCCAGCCCAGGAGAGAAGGAGCCCAGAGGCGCCGCGTGCTGGATCCGTGCACAGAACCCTTCCGCCTGGCCCGGCCCTGGGGCACCCAGCGTCCCCAGATTTCTCCTTTTGGGGATGGGAGGCACCACTCAGTGTGGTGGCCCAGCAATAGAATGTCACCCGTTGGCATCACAGCACTATTCTGGGCCGTGTGCTCCACGGCCCGGCAATCTCTGCTGAGCTGGGCAGGCTCAGGGCAAGGGCACTGGCGGGGGTCCAGGAGTCAGGGCCTCGGTCAAGTCCCCTCGCTGGTGGGAGGAGGGGCAGCCGGCACAGGGCCTGGCGGAGACAGAAACACGGAGCCCTCGGGCTGTTTCTCTGCGGGCAGGTCTGGGCACCGGACCCTGTGGTGTGGGTTCAACTCAGACCCCTGTGGATCGCTGTCTTCTCTCCAGGCTTGCTGCCCTTCCTCTCCTCCCTGCCTCCCTCTTACTCTGGGACACCGGTGCCATGACACACTAGTGGGACCGGTGTAATAATGCTGGTAGGCACAGAGGAGAACCCCGTGGTTGGGCCCCAGGGAAGGTGTCCCGTAGGCCCGGTGGGTCACCACACACGAGAGGGGACAGCACCATGCAGGCATGACCCACACTCTACCAGACCAGAGTGTGGCTGTGAGGACCCAGGGGACCACTCAGGCCCCACTGCAGGCGCCACGGAGTTGAACAGGGCCGCACCCCACGAGGGCTTGGGGATCATGGTTGGAAAGGAGGTCTCCGTACCCAGAGCACTTGGTCAAAGACAAATGACCCTGGGGCGGGGGGGACTTCCCTGGTGGCACAGTGGTTAAGAATCCACCTGCCAATGCAGGGGACACAGGATCGAGCCGTGGTCCTGGAAGATCCCACATGCTGTGGAGCAACTGAGCCCGTGCGCCACAACTACTGAGCCTGCGCTGTAGAGCCCACGAACCACAACTACTGAGCCCATGCGCCTAGGGCCCGTGCTCCGCAACAAGATAAGCTGCCGCAACGAGAAGCCCACGCACCACAGCGAAGAGTGGCCCCTGCTCGCTGCAACTAGAGAAAGCCCGCGTGCAGTCAAAAACAAAAAAGACAAACGGCCCACTTAGCCTCACTCTGGTATCGAGTGTGCCGCAGGCTATGAGATGATAGTAATAACAAAAGTTGAGACTGACTGGCCTTTGAAAAAAGCCTATGGCAACATCTCTGTCAGCCAACAGTCCCTCGCGTACGCTTCCCCGTATGCCTTATACACCACGCAAGGCTCCTCCCTGCGGAGCCCAGGGCCCAGCTGCAGTCCCAGGAAGCCCCAGGTGGCAGAGCTGCAGGGGACTGGGGTGCTCTGCTGTGAGCTGTGGGCAGGTGGATGGGCGAAGGGGTGTGCAGTCCCAAAGCCTCGGTAACCCCGCAGGAAAGGGGCAGGAAAGATGGGGGAGGGGCCAGGTCCAGTCGACCTTGAATTGAGTAGGAGCCTGCACTTGGGTGCACACTGGACGTGGGGTGAGAGTTAGGGAGTGGGCAGGGTGGGGTGTGGCACCCCCGGGGCCTGGAGAATGCCCCCTGAGGGCCCGGAGCACGCCGGGAGCTGTGGACGTGTGGCTGCACTCAGAGTAGGGCTCTGATCCGGAGGGTGAGCTGGGGCCGTCACACGTGCGTGCACACACACACACCCAGGGCAGTGAAAGTCATGGCAGTGTCTCGCTCGGGGAGGGCTGTCCCGTGAAAGGAGAGGCCACTAAGGAGCTGACTCTGAGCGGCATGGGGCTGGCGTGGGGGACATTTCCAAGTACTTATTGCAGGTCAGGTGCCTTCTGGGTGTAGCCGGGCCCAGCTGGAGCCTAAGCTCAATCCACTGTTTGGGTTTAGACGAGTCGGGGCTTGTCGGAGGGGCAGCCAGCCAGGTGTCCTCAGGCCATGGCCGGGGCTGGGGGCAGGGCACTTAGAGGGACAACCCCTCCTTGAAGGGCCTGGGTGGTGGAGGGACCCACTCTGAGAACTTGGAGGGTGTTCATCCATTGCGGGCCCCACCCCCATGGGCTCCTGACTCTGGGCTCCAGTCTTGGGAGGGCAGAGGTTTCAGGAAGAGGCAAAGCCGGCTCCACTCTGGACGCATGGGGCAGGGCATGGTCGCCAGGGGTGGCACAGGACCACTGTGGCCCCGGAGAGCCCAGGGCAGCTCCAGCGCTGAAGGACCCCAGCTCCCGCTGCCAGATCAGGGCTGGTATGAGTTTCCTGGGGCCACTGCTGTAACAAAGGACCACACGGGCGGCTTCAAACAGAGATTGAGTCTCTCATGTTCCTGGAGGCCACAAGTCCAAAATCAGGGTATCAGTAGGGCCGCACTCCCTCGAAAAACTCTAGAAGAGGGTCCTTCCTGGCCGCTTCCAGCTTCTGGTGGCTCCAGGTGTCCCTTGGCTTGTGGTTGCGTCACTCCAGTCCGTCTCTGTCTTCACAAGACCTCCTGCTGTGTCTGTGTGTCAGCTGTTCTTCTGCCTCCCTATTGTAAGGACACTTATCACTACATCTGGGGTCTGCCCAGATAACCCAGGATCGTCTCCCCATCTCAAGATCCTGAACTTATATCTGCAAAGGCCCTATTTCCACACAGGGTCCCAGCCCAGTGCAGGGTGGGGGCGGTTAGGATGTGCACGTCTCTCCAGGGGCATTTCAGCCCCTCCTCCGTGGGCTGCAGGGGGCTGCTGGCCCTGGAGGTCCAGGCACGCTGGTGGCCCCCGAAGCCAGGGTGTGGTGGCTGTGATCTCAGCCAGGGAGAGAGTGGGAAGAGGAGGGGGACCCGGGGCCCAGCCAGAGGGGCTCCCATTTCAGGGCTGGGCTGAGGATTGCTGTCCCCGGAGGAGACGGTGACCGCCACACCAAAAGTGGCAGGAGCGAAACAGGGCAAGGGAGGGGCGACAGCTGCGGGGCCCACGGAGAGGAGGGGGGGCCTGGGGACAGGTGGTGGCCGAGGACCTGGGAAAGAAAGCGTTTGGGAAGGGGGAGAACAGTGAGGGCTGAAGAGGCAGCCGGCTCTGAGCTCTGGGAGCAGGACGCAGTTCACGTGCCAGTGCCAATGCCCCCGTGTGCACAGCAGCCATCAGTAAAATGAACACCGCCCCCAGAAGTGATATGTCCCCCGGTCGCTGAGGGAAGACAGTGACACAGTCCTAAAAGTGAGTCTTCTCTCTTCTCTTCAGCCACTCCCAAGCCTCCCCTCTCAGCACCCATTTCTTCCTCCACCACTTCTGTCCTCCCAGAGCCGCCAACACATGTCTGCTAAAAGGCTGGTGTTTGCTACTGGCCAGGGTTCACCCCCTGCCCGAGGGAAGCTCCAGCGAGGGCCCAGGGAGGCCAGGGGCCTCGGGCCTGGGATGGGAGGACGTGCCCTTGTGCCAGACCCCAGAGAGCCTGTTCCCTGGTGGGAGGCCAGGAAGGGGGGTCCGAGTCTGGGGGAAGGGCTCTCGGGAGGCGACCCACCGATTGGGGCTCCTCTTCCCCGGTGTGGCTGCCCGGGGCAGGCTGGCGCCCCATCACCCAGCCCAGTGCAGGCTCAGCTTGACCACCGGCTCCAGGTGGGGACTGGCTCCCCTCCGGGCGCAGGGGTGGCCAGAACAGTGCCAGGCTGCCGGGGCAGCACCGGGCTCCAGGGCTGCTGAGGGGCCGAGGGGGTCAGAGCCAACCACCAACCAGCACAGCCAGCTGGCTCTCAGAGAGCAAGTCCCAGGAAAAACGGCCGGGGTTGGAGTGCAAGGGGAGCATGCGCGTGAGTGAGCGTGCATGAACGAAGTGTGTGTGGGAGAGAGAGAGAGTGAACAACTGTGTGAGCCTGTGTGAGAGGCATGAGGGAGGGTGTGAGTGTGAATAAATGTGAATAACTGTGAGGAAGTGTGAGTGTGTGAGTAACTGAATGTGTACAAGTGTGTGACTAGTGAGTGTGTAAAGGTGTGAGAATAACTGAGCATGTGGGGGGAGGGAGTGTTCTGAGTGAGCGTGTGTCACCGGCTGTGAGTGTGTCAGCGTGTGTGAGAGCGTCAGCACGTGTGAGTGTGTCCGCATCCCTGAGGATGTGTAAGTCTGTGTGTGTGTGTGTGTGTGTGTGTGTACGCACACGCACACGTAAGTGTGGCCTCTGCCTGCACTGAGAGGTACCAGATCTCAAGGGCTGTCTGTGGAACAGCTGCTTCCTGCTTGAGGGACAGACCGTGGGGAGGTGTGCCAGTCTTCTGACCCAGGGAAGACCCCCTGGGTCTGCAGAGCCTTTGTGTCCTTTAGGTGTCTGTCACAGTGGCATCTCCTCAAATAAGCCTTCCCTGAGCTCCCAGCACCATCTTTCGTCTCCCCCCGCCGTGCTCTCCTTGGACCTTTACCCCAACTGCGATGCCTTGAGTTCACGCTCTGCCCGCCAGCTCCTTGTTTTGGGGTCCCTGCTGTGTCCTCGGTGCCCAGACCAGGCCTGGCACACAGGACACCCCGGGACCCTGTTTGTCCCAGGCAAGAAGCAATCAGTGGCTGTGTCCAGGCCTCTTCTACCTGCCTTCTCCGGACTGGTGATGCGCACCACGGGCCTGTCACTCACATTCAGCCCCCGTCCTGTGCCGCTCCCACCCCCTCGCTCTCCTGCTCGCTGCTCACGGATGGGGGCCAGGGCCTGATCCAGGTCCAGAGGCACCCACGGTCCCTGGGGCTGGGCAGCTTGGGGCTTTAAGGACCAGTGGCACCGCCAGCCAGCTCCCGCCTGGCCACTGGGTGTCCACGGGCACACACTCGGGCTTCTGTCCACGGACGTGCCTACATGTGTTTGGGCGTACAGGGTCTTCTCCACATTGGAGTTTTGTCTGTGTGTCTGTCTCCCCTTGCGTCTGCGAATGTGTGTCCCTGTGTGTCTGCTTCTGGGTGTGTCCACCTGTGTGCGGGATCTCTGCATCCTGTATAAGGGTCTTTGTGTGATAACCTTTTGGGGTCATTGACTTTGAGAACCTGTCCCAAGCTCCAGCTACCCTCCGGGAAAAGTGTTTAGATGTCTTACTCCCAACTGCTAGCAGGCAGTTTCCTGAGGATCACCAGCCCCTCGGAGGCCACGGGGCGGGGGTGAGGGTCAGAGGGGGGCAGGGACCCCACATTACAAATCAGCAACTCAGCTCCACGCCCCTTTTGACTGTCAAGGAGACAGACCCAGGGGCAGTCTGGAGAGGGAGCGGCAGCCTGCCTGCTCGGTGCCCTTTCTCTGAGCTCCCCGGTGCCAGGGCCCCCCAGTACCCAGCCGCGCCCACCCCCACCCCCCTTGGCCAGCGCCCTCCGGGGTCACCGCCAGGCCAAGAAGGGCGGGCACCGCCGCGCGTCCTGGGGGAGAGAAGGGCGCGCACCGGGCGCGTAGCTTGGGAGCCGCGTGGCTCTGGAGCCCCGCGGCCCCCTCGCCGCGCGCCGCCCCCCGCGCCCGCTCCCTCCTCCCTTCCTTCTCCTCCCCCCTCTCGCTCCTTCCCCCCTCTCGCTCCTTCCCCCCTCTCGCTCCCTCCCTCCTCCCTCCCTCCCTCCCTCCGCGCTCAGAGCTGCGGCTGAAGCCGAGCGCGCCGCGTCGCCCGCCGCCGCCGGTGCGGAGCGTGGAGAGCACTCGGCCGCAGCCCTCGCCCGCCGTGGAGGGTCGCGCTGCCGGCCAGGTCGCCTGGTGCCTGGGCCTTTCGGTCCCTGGAGCGGATCGTTGTCCGCCGGGCGTCCGACCGCAGCGACTAGCGACAGCGCCCGCCGGAGCCGAGGCCGCGGCGGCGGCCGTGCCCATGACCGGGTAAGTGGTGCCCTGGGCGCTCGGGCGCTGCCGGGGTGGGCGCGGGCGCGGGCGGGGAGGGCGGCCCGGCAGGTGGCGCGGCAGGCAGGTGGAGGGACACGGATCCCCGCCCGCTGCACCTGCGCCCCGCGCCTGGCCTGCTGTGTCCTTGCGGCGCCGCGGCCGCGCGTCACCCCCGGGTCCCCAGGCCAGCGGGCAGCGCCCCGCACCCTGCACCCTGTGCCCCGCATCCTGCGCGCACGCGCATCTGCGTCTGGGGAGAAAGGCCGCCGGGGGCTGCGGGCGGGTCCCGGGGCGGGCACAGCCGGGGGGCTCAGGGCCTGGGCTGGAGCCGACCTCGCGCACACACGTTCTCGGAGCCTCTTGGCACCCCCTCCGCCCCCACCCCGCCCCGCTTCCTCACACTGTGTCATCCTTCCCGGACACGCACAGTCTGAGAACCCCTCACACGTTCCCGCACTGTCCCCTGCACGCCCACACAGCTGCCCGGCCCCGCCACCGGCATGCCAACGGCAAGCAGACTCGGCCACACTTGGGTAACTCCTTCCCCATCCCTCTGCGCACAGCTGTCCCCCCCTCCTCCCCTGTGTGACCTTGGCCAGATGGCTTCTCCGGGTCGGGTCCTCAGTTTTCTCAGGGGTTTAGGATTCTGGAATTTGGAGTGCTGGTGTGGCATCTCCCAGAGGAGGGAGCCCTGGGGCTCCCCCTTGGACTATCTGATTCTCTCCTCAGACCTGGTCTCCTTCCTTCTACTGGTGCCTTTGGGGCTTAACGCCTGGCCAGGAGAGGGGCCGGGCACGGCATGGGGCAGGGCAGGACCAGAGGGAGCCTTGGAGAGCCCAGGGTGAGGGTCTGGTGAGGGGTTGGGAGAGAGTGTATAAAGGCTCCCTGAAGGGACAGAGCAGGGCCGCCTCCCTCAGCTAGGCACCTGACATTCCCGGGGCTGGGGGGAAGGGGGGAGGGGGGCCACTCGGTATTCCAAAGGTGAGGCCGTTGGGTCCCTAACCTCAGGTGGGTCCCTGCCAGCCACAGGGTCAAGTCCAGCCTGACCCCAACCATCCCAGTCCCCCTCATTTGCCCACCAGCTCTGTGGTTACTAATATGCCCTGGTTGCTTGGGTGCCCAGCACAGGCCTGGCTCAGAGTGGGCATGGCTTTCTGTGTGGCACATTCACAACCTTGACCTCACTGAACTTGCAGAATCACCCGGTGAGGGAGGCAAGGCCTGGGTTTTTGTCCCCATTTTTCAGACAGGGAAATTGAGGCCCCAAGAAAGGAAGGGACTCGGCCCTGCGTTGGCTGGATGGGGGGCTGGCTGGGGACACTCTCACGGGCCTCGTGGGGGGAGCACGTCCCACACGTCCTGGCACAGTTCTAAGCAGGTTTCTAGACCCTCTGGCTGAGTCTCACAAGCTACGCCACTGTTTCCATCACCCCCTTTCACAGCCAAGGAGACTAAGGACACATGAGTCACGAGAGGGGAGCTGGGATGCAGACCTGGGCAGTGGGAACCCCCTGCCTGCTCTGGCCTGCAGAGGGGAGGGCTGGGGGGCTGTTCGGGCCCCAGAGGGCCTCAGCTGAGGCTTGGCAGAGGGTCCAAGGGTGGAGCCAGCCCCTGCAGAGCAAGCCGTGTGGAGGGGGCTGGGCAGCTGTGGTCTGAGGGCATGGATTGTCCCTGCTGCTTGCCTCGAGGAGAGGGAGGGCCATGGACACAGCCAGTCTGGATCAGACCAACCTGGTCCATGCCTAGTGCCGCCACGTGGTCTGATCGAAGGGGCAGGCGTCTCTGGCACAGAAGTTGGGGGGAGGGGGTAACGCAGGCAGATGGAACTGGGGCGGCGTGGGAGGGGGCTTTGTGCAGAGCCAGAAGGAAAGCCAGTCCTTCGGGGAAGGAAGCCCCGGAGGCTAAGAGCGCACTGGGGGGGAGCTACAGCGCCAGGCGGGCGGCCGGCAGGGACGCTGCGGCAGGCCCCTGAGGGGCAAAGAAGGTGGCGGAAAGCACCCGGGTTTGCTGCCAGCTCTGGGCCTCATGGTCTTTGTGACCTTGTCTAAATCCCTTTCGCGCTCCGGGCCTGGGGAGCGTGGGGGTGGGCCTCGGCGGACTCCGCTGACATTTCAGGATTCAGAGCTGGAGCCTCAGACGTTGAATCATTTGCGAACGCGGGGAGGTTGGCCGTGAGTCAGTGAGCGCTCTCTAGCCCAGAACAGCTTCTCCCAGCGCAAGGTGGCAGCCCCTCTCCCCCTCCCCCAGTGTGACTTTTAGAGAGGGACCCTGGCCTTCTTGGTGAGCAAGATGAGAGTGTCCTGGGCGCCTGGGGACTTTGAGAGCCGAGCTTCGGCTGGGACTCTCGAAGCCGTCGACGCCAGGCCCAGCTTCCTCCTCCCACCTTACAGAGTTGTCAGCACGTATGTGGGCTTTGCCCACTACGCTCCCTTCTGTTCTTAAACTGAGGACGTGTATATTTAATTGATGGCTGCTGTCTCTGTCAGAGGTTACCAGCACCTCAAATAATGTCAGTAGTGACAGTGATAATAGTTTGTGACAGACGCTGTTTTCAGTGCTTCACAGACATTCTCTCACTTCAACGAAACAACCAAATGAAGCAGATGAGGCGACTGAGGCCCAGAGAGGTTAGGCAACTTGCCCAAGGTCACACAGCCAGTAGGTGGTAAAACCAAGATTGGAAGGCAGGCCGTCAGGTTCCTGAGTCTGATTTGTGCGTGTAGCCACTGGTTCCGGAGCCTCTGGAAGTCTGTGCTGAACTCAGCAGAATGGCGCATTCTATGAGTGAGCCGATTGTCAAGGGCACTTCCAGTCCTGGGAAGACCCTGCAGGTCAGAAGCTGAGCCACCTGGGCCCCCCATCTACCCACTGAGAGAAACAGACAAACCGTAGACTTGAGTCCCTTCAGTAAGTCTTCCCCGTGGCCCGTCCAGGGCGCCTCTACGAAGGTGAGTGAACGTCTGCTGCTAGGTGGAGCCCTGGGCTGCGGCGCCAGAGGCAGACGCTTCAATCTAGCGCAGTGTGTGCTGCCTGGGCGCCTCACCAGTGCCGTCTCTGAGATGGGCCCGGGAGCCAGGCTCTGGCTGTGAACTTTGCCGGGCACAGCAGGCAGACACCTGGACCGCGCAGATGTCTCCTCCCCACTTCACCCCCACCCTTTCCCAGAAGGCCACTTCTTTACCTAGGACCCCAGCTCCTGGCTGTTTCTCTCTTCCCTGCCCTGGCTAAGCTGGCAGAAGCCAGGCCAAGTGGTGCCCGGCTGGAAAGCCCTCCCCTGCCTGGGCACCTTCTGTTGGGTGGGAGGTGCTGGAAGTGGGCCTGGGAGCGCCACCTGGAGAGCAGGGTCTGAGCCCACACGCCACCAGGACAGAAGACAGAGACTCTCCACCGGAGGAGCGGAGGCTGGGCCTCCCAGACTGCCCAAGGTTGGGAAGAGGGGATGAGGCCAAGTTCACGTGCCTAGTAGATGGCAGAACCCGCACCAGAGCCACAGGGCGAGGGGGAAAGGCTCAGGTTGGGGGCAGGGCTGGAGGCTTCTCCTGAGTCCCGCCTCCGAGGGCTGGCAGGGATCTTGGAGCACAAGAGGTTTCCGGAAACTTGGGTCCAAATCAGAGTTCTGTGAGGGGGGGTGCTGTGGCCAGTGTCCTTAGGGAGCACCTTATGTAACGGGGTCCTGGGCCTGCCTCAGTGCTCTGTAGGTGGCTCCTCAGTAAAGGGGAAGTCTTTTATTCAAATGAGAAGTTCTGTCCTGCATCCGCAGGCCCGAGGCGCTTTCTTCCGTTGTGAGGTTCGATGTTCGCCACTCGCCACAAGTGGCGACTGAATGAAAATTCAGCAAAGTTGAAAATTCCGTCCCTCGTCCACACACCACGTTTCAAGTGTTCATTCCAGAACGTTCTGTCACCCCGTGCCGCTTTAGAGCCAATGCAGACCAAGTCCTCACAGGGACCCTGAGGCCACTCTCAAGCCTGCGCCCCCAGTGGCCCCTTGAAAGGGAGCCGGTAAAGAGGTTGTGGACGCCTCCAGGCAGCCTGTCCGCACCCTGGAGAGTCTGGGGGGCTCTGCCACACTCGCCAAGGGCCAGCCCAGGTGCCTGCACAGAACTGGGCAAGGGAGGCAAGAGTGCCTCGTTCCAGAAGCAGCCCACCACGTGGTGGGGATGCTGATTCCAGCGGCCCCAGCATGCCACTTTGGGCAAATCCGGATCTGGCCCCTGCCCTGGGTTCAGGATCGCTCATGGGGCATGCTGGAGGCACCTGGGCAGGTCTGCAGACAGGGGGAGGCTCTTGGGCGTTTTTTTAAAATAACGTTTACTTCTTTCATTTAAAAATGACGCTCTTAACATGCATGCTCTTTACAGAAAATTCATGAAATGCTGAGAAGTAGAAGATATAGGAACACCCCACCCCCCTCATCCTATCTCCAAAGTACCAGTCAGTGTTTCCCATTTCACAGGACACGTTTCTGCTCCGTTTTCTTTGCACGGGCTATTTATTTTTACATTACTGTAATTATACCACGGGCACAATTGTGTAATCTATTTTTTACTTCACGCGAGCATTTTCTTTATGAATGTAATCCCTTTTCAAAATGGATGCGGCTTAATTTTTGGAAGATTATGAAATCAGTAAGTACTTATTACAAAAATAAAGAACATGATCGTTGGCTCGTTTGACAGCTATTTCCCGAGCACCCAGGATGTATCAGGGCGGTCCTCGGGGCTGTAATTACAATTTTTAACGGCTGAATAATATTCTCTCAAGAGATTGTAATTCACTTAATTATTTGGCTATTTGTGGAGATCCAGGCATCTCCAGAGCATCTCGGTGGGTGACTCGTTCTGTCCTGAGGAGAGAGTGCCCAGACGGAAGCTCATTCTGCCAAAGGGCTTTTCTGGGCGTCTGAAGGGCTGGCTCGCTGCAGCCTTGCCAGCGTTAGTCATTGTAATCAAACAACCTGGCATAAATATCTAGCTCCAGAGTATCTACTTCAGTTTC